GTAAGGAACAAACATACGATTATAGTTTTAACCTTTTTTATTTATATATAACAAAATCTGCTTATATCTATGATGTGGGCCCAAAGTTGGAACCACGGAAGGAAAACACGGAACACGGATTCGAGGTAAGAAAGATATATTAAACAAAAAGGTTACAAAGATAGTGTAAGTGTAAGCGGAGCTTACTATGTGCTAGTGTCCAATATTGGTAGTCGTACGCGGCTGATACTACGGTATTAGAATACTCTCTCTCTCTCTTTCCTCCTCTTCTCCTAGAGTGTTATATCGCATACTTTATATATTCCTGGAAGAGTCCATGTTGTAGGTATGTTACGGTCTCACAACAATCTATGAACATCTGATCGGTCAGTTGACGATTAGATCTAAAATTATTTTCAATGGCAAAAGTACGCTCCTAACACTAAAATGTCGCCATACGACGAGCAAGATTTTAATTATCAAATACTATTAATTTGTCTGATCTTTCCAGCTGAAACATTTTCAAGGAATTTTGATTAGTTTATTTTTCATCTTGGTTTAAATCAAAAAAAAATGTTTCAGAGGCAGCCGGATGAGAAAGAATGTAAGTCTAGGATTAACTTCAAATTAACTTGACTCTTTGGTCTCCGTGACTAAGTCGATACGGCTTTATCAATGTCAAATAGGATACAAAGTTGTTTTTTTTTATTTATTATTTCTGATCGCTTTGTCTCAAGGGCTGCCGAATGCAAAGCGTTGAGTGCGTTACGATAAAAACCAACAATAATAAAATGGAAGACAATCTAGAAAAATGAAAACTTGATTATCAATTTCACAATTTTAGCTTTCGATATGAATTGCCTAACTTTGTTTTCTTTTCCTTTAAATAAAGTCAGTCTTCGGATGTCGAATTCTCAAATTCTATCTTATTAATTGTTACGAAATTCTTTATAACGAGCACCTGGCTTGTCGTCAGAACAGTTTGTTTGTTTGTTTAACGGCATATCAACATCTAATGGGTCATTTAATGTTGAAATTTTCTATGGAGCTTGAGCAATTCTTTCTTTGTAAAATAATCTGTTGCTGGTGATTTCTTCTTTATTTTTATATATTTTTTTAAATCAATACATTCAGGTTTTTGACCGCAGTTTCGAGGTTAACTATTTGCCCGTAGTTGGAACCCTAACAAATTCTACCATTCCGGATCAGGGTGGACCTGGAAACAACAGCAGTTAAGAGGTGGTACCCCGCTTCTCAAAACCTCCCCATCAGAGATCTTGCTGCCGGATGTAGTTTATCGTCTTACCTAAATCCTTAAAGTAGGGATCTGTTCGAGCACACTAAGTCCTGAAGCCTATTTTAAATATATGCACTCACCTTACCTTTAGTCATATACACTGCGCACGTTATTTTTTAGATAACTCTGTAGCAATGCTAACGTTTTGGAATTCATACAATAAGCAATGGCGAATAGGTTGCTTATAATTCTAATCTCCTATAGGGGTTAAACTCTGAAAAGCATTATAAACGATTCACTGTAGAATAGGAGAGACGAGAGACTAAATCTTGACGCATTGCTCTACCATAAACGTTGGTTTTGCTTTGAGTTGTTGACACAGTTGATAGCGTTGAAATTCGTAATTACTTTCGCAACTTGCTAATATTTAATTATAAAGTTTAGAGAAACTAAATTATTTTGCGAATGGATGCAAACAACTGATTTGAAGCATTAGCGTGGAACATTAATTACCACCCTATCCTCTCAGAACATTACAACCCGGGGGCCCAACCCTTCTGGTCCAGCGGTAAACTTAACTAGAGAATTTGTTCAGTAGAAAATTATTTTATTTAATACTCTTGTTACGAACAGTCGACATTTTATTTAACCCATTCGTTTCAAACAGACGCCATTTTATGTAATTCGTTCGTTACAAACAGACGCTATTTTATGTATCCTTTCGTTAAAACAGGCGCCATTTTATGTAATCCTTTCGTTAAAAACAGATGCCATTTTATTTAATCCTTTCGTTACAAAAAGGCACCATTTTATTTTTGGTACTGTTAAAGAATAGCAACTCTTGAAGTGTGTTCTTACCAAAAGAAGCAAGACTTACAGTCAGAAAAATATTAAACATACAAGACAATGCAAATATGTCGTCTGCTGACTCTATTGTTCTCCTTGGATAAATGTTCTATAAAAAAAGCCGCTTGCGGCAAATATAAAGCGAGGTATTCTTGACCTTCAAAAACTCAGCGGGAGCTGACGTAACCATTGTATAGAGCAGTCATCTTTGTATGAACAGTATCTTATATTGTAAAGCAAGATATTTGGTTTTCAGAGGAGCTATTTTCAATTTGCACAAGACAGAATGCCACTTGCTGAATGAAAATTTCGCATAAACATTGTCTTAAAGAATGACAACAGAACTCTAAACCCAACGTTTAGTATGTAGATCTTCTTCACTGTGTTGTTTCTCTCCAGGACTTGTGTGTTCATAGCTCCCCACAACTTCCAACGCTTAGTAGCTCTTAGTAACATTTTCCGCCTGACCATCCCTGTCAGTCAATTATATCATTTTAGTATCAAATTCTTTGAATTAGTTTTCTACTTACATTATTTACATTATTCGAACTGTTATCCTCAACTTAATTGCCATATTCACAACGTTTTGGTCGTTGTACGTTCTGGCGTTCTTCAGGTGATTGGAATTTCGAACCGAACCTTTTATTTCTTCCACCGGGGTAGATTGATCTACAGAACCCGGTAAACATAACCACAAAACGGTCTACCACTGGAAGGATTATTAAACCTCTACAGAACAATCTACCCCGGTGGTAGATTGTTAGATCAATCTACCCGGGTGGACGAAATAAAGGGTTCAAGCCAAGGCTAAATCTACCTTCTTCAGCAGCTTACAAGAACTTGGCACTGTTTTCTTTTGGGAATATATCTTTCCCAGTTATACTCCAGAAACTCCGGCTGGTATTGCACAATATGGAAAAACTCAAAACTCGCCGATTCTTCTTCGCAGATTATGTTCTCACCTAGATCATAGTAAATGAATCCGACCAGTTTAAATCTGGAATCCTAAACATGGCTTCTCCAGAAACACAAAAGACTCTCTATGCTATATGTAAAACCATTCCTTTTTGTTTCTCCTTCACTCTACTCTATGTCGATATATGATATATTGTTCTTCGTGTCGGACTTGTGTATATATGTATATATATATCTTTGTGTATGTCTTAGTGGTGAAACACATAGTGAAGTTGGGGCACCCTGTTTAAATTATATCTAGTAAAATAAATTGAAAAAGATAAAATAATGCATACTCCCCAGTTAACATTCAGAGTGGTAAATTATGCCCGTCCTTGTAAGAAATACCTCTTTCCCGTGGTAACATGCATGACTACAAAGACGTTAAAAGAAAATTAAAAGACACCGGTTAAATTCATATCTTTTATATGTTTGAGATGAGGTATTATGATTATTTACATTATTCGGACTATTATTCTCATTTCATTACCATATTCACAACGTTTCGGTCGTTGTACGCTCCGGCCTTCTTCAAGTGATTTTCCTCAAGGATACATGACCCGGTAAATAACGACGTTGGTTAGATCCAGTGAGTAGATCCAAAGAGTTGTGAGTTTAATACCATTTTACAGCAGTGTTAAATTAAAAAAATAACTTCGAGAGTTTAGTTAGAGAGAAATAACTGAGACATTCGTAAGAGACATGGCACGTGGAACTAGAACAATCTACTCCGATGAACGAAATAAAGGGTTCAGTCGAAATTCCGATCATCTTAAGAAGGCCGGAGTGTAAAACAGTCGAAACGTTGTGAATATGGCAATGAAGATGAGGTTAGCAGTCCGAATAATGTAAATGACGGTTAAATTCATTAAATTTCTTTTATTTAAAATATATATATAATACGTAAATTAATCCCAAGGTAAAATAATATAAACAGTAATTACATTACAAATAAAAAATTAAGAATAATTACTTTTAATCGCTTTTGTTTATTTGACATTGAATTACGTCCTTTAGAATCCTCTATAATTTACCTAAGCTTTTCAGTTAGGCTGATGAATATGAACATTTAAAAAAGAAAAATATATATATATATACAAGCCGACAAATCTGGGACAATCCACAAAATAGACACCAATGACTATAATAAATTAGTTGAAAGAGAAATCACCAAGTTTTGAAAAACATGGAAAACAACATAAGCACAAAGCCAAAAAAAAAAAAAATTCAACAAACTGAAACTAGGCAACAGGTTCAAACAACTGCCGAAATAGAACAACTCATTACATTAAAAGTCTACAAGGACATCTTCTTGAACAAACCACTATGCAGTCTAATATACCCCACAAAAACCAACATCGGAAAAATAAGCAAACAAATAGTAGAGGAAATACACTCAAAACTCAGAAACAAACTAAAAATAAACCAATGGAAAAACACGCAAGAAACAATCGATTGGTTTAACAACATTAACAAAAAATAATCCTCATTCGTACAACTTGACATAAAAAGACTTCTACACATCCATTAAATAACACACAGTGAATAACGCATTTGACCTAGCAAAACAACATATAAGCATTCAAAATGATGACCTAAACATAATCATAATAATTTAAAAATAATAGCATTTTAGGAAGTCTATATTATACACAGAAACAAAATATAGTTGGAAAAATGCTTCACTAATAATAACAACAATAACGGTTATAACTTTGACATAAAGATGGGCAGCTACGACGGCGTTCAATGCGAATTAATAGGTATATATATATATCATCAACAAACTAGCAAACATTATCAACAAAATATATAAGCCTATACAGAGACGAAGGATTAAAAATCCTAAGAAATTTTAATGATAGAACCAAGGAAAAATAAGAAAGCAAACCATGAATGACTTCAACACACTAGCAATCCCAATAGACATCAAATAAAATCTAAAAAAAAGAATAGTGAACTTTTTAGATGTAACATTCAATTT